ATCATCATTTTTTTATAGTGGTTTTCAATAATTATGTACATATTTTTATAGTGGTTTTCAATATTTTTACATAAACCACTATAAAAATCTGTATAAATAATTATAGTGGTTTTCAATAATTTTTGTACAAATTTTTATATAAATGTATATACCAAGTGATTTTTATGTTGACATAGTTGTTATACAGAGTAGTTTTCGAGTTTACATAATTGTTATACATAGTGGTTTTCATGTTATATAATTACTATACATAGTGGTTTTCATGTTATATAATTGTTATATATAGTGGTTTTCATGTTTATATAAATGTTTATACATAGTGGTTTTTATGTTTATATAGAGTGTTTTTTATTTAAAAAAACTGGAAATAAAAAAAAATCATTTTCAAAAGAATTCGAAATTAAGAAAAAAAAAACCATGAAAAAAAAATAAATAAAACCCTTTTTTTAAGCTAAAATAAAAAACATGAAAAATATTAATAAGAAAAAAAATTTAAAATAAAAAAACGAAGATAAGAAAAATAAAAAAATAATATAATTACAAATTTTTTTTTAAATCGAAATAAAGAAAATCATTAAACAAAATAAAAAAGAAAAGGAAAAAAAAACCGAATTAACGTGATGAGGGGAATAATTTTAGGAGAAGATTTGGGTGTAGATTATGGGTATAATTTTTTTTAAATTAAATAGTTATATTAATTAATAATTAGTGGGGGCATATATGGTTTTTCAAGCCCATTGGATTTATCTCAAATATCATTTATAAATAAAGGATTTATCAAGAATTGAAATTCCAATGAAGGGTGTTTGGCATATAACCCCTAACAAAAAATAGTATGCAACTGTGGATGGTTAAACCTACAAAATAGGTAATTTAATTAGATTTAGTTAAGCCTTAATTAGGTAGATTTGATTAGATTTAGTTAGTCCTCAATTAAGTGATTTGATTTGTTAATGTAATTAATCCATTTTATTAGCCCATACACTGATGAAGAAATATAGAGAATTACACAAATTAAGTATATAATTTAGGACAAAATACACTTCACCCCTAAATTTCCTATTTTTGGACTTTCCCCTCTAAAAAATTAAAAACTGGATAATCCGCCTTCAAAATATTATTTTGGTTGCATTTTGCCCCAAAAGCCAATTTTTGGTGGCCATTGTGCAACAAAAATAACATTTTAAAGGGGCAATATGCAAAAAGATAATTTTTTTAAAAGGGTAACGTGCAACAAAAGTAACATATAAAGGGGCAATGTGCAACAAAAATACTTAAATGCCAGTGAATAATCCATCGAAATTTTGCTATCGGGACAATGTGCAACAAGAATAACATTTCGAAGGAGGACATTCACTTTTTAAAATTTTGAGGGGTAAAGTGAGAAAATAAGAAATTTTTAAGGAGTGATGTGCAATTTTCCCTATAATTTATATGCATACCATTTATATGAATATTATACTTGATGATGAATTCATATAATTCTTTGTAAAGTTTTATTACACGAGAATTACAAATTTGATTACATCCTTACACGGAAAGCAAGTTAAATCACCAATTGGCCAAACCAAATTCCTATCATATCACTGCAATCAATCAATCAAAAAAAATTGATTTTTTTCAGATTTATGTTACTATAAATTCCGCAAGAAACAAGACCAATGGAGGTCACAAATCATTTTCATTTTTCAATTAAAAAAAGAAAGAGAAAAAACAAAATGAATTCTCTAATGATGATATTTCTCGTGCTTTCTCCGAACCTCATACAAATAATGGCATTGGACAAAACCGAAACCGCAATCGAAAACGCGAACCAGGACGAAAAACTGTCATGTTTTATTTACGCGAACATCGATATGTACATCGCAAGCCATTTGCCCGAACAGGGTCAGCCGTTAACCTTTCATTGTGGGGCAAACAACGACGTGAACGCCCATTCACTTACACTCTCTCCGAATCACCATTTTCACTTCCATTTCTGCATGCGCCCGTTTGCCGAGTTTTACTTCTGCAGTACGTTTTGGGGCGATAAGACGGCTGCTTTCGTGGTCTACTCTAAAAGTAATAATTACTGCGACGGTAAAACGTGCTATTGGTCGGCGCAGAGTGACGGGATTTACTTCGGGACGGGTTATCCTCCGAATGGATTGACGAAAATTCGCGACTGGGAAAGTCGTAAACAAGTTGTTGATTCGGGCAAGAATATTACTCATGCTATTATTAGTGCTCAACAAAAAATAAATTAAATTAAATGGTTGATGTAAGAAGGTTTGATTGAATAAAACATAGATGATAGATGCATATTCTAGCTGTCTTTAATAATCCTTTTTTTATGTTATATTTATCTCGTGTTTTTTTTTTCTAATTTTGATTTTCACTTCTGCTTTGGTTTTGTTGTTGTGAGCCTAACATGAAATATTAATCAATAGTCAATAGAGCAAGTAAAAGTGCAGCAAAAACAATTTTAAGCAACAATTGTGAATTTGTGACACCCATTTTGGTACTTAGGTGGTGCTTGCAAAAGCTTTTGAGAAGTGATTATGAGCTTTTTTTTGACTTAGAATCAGTTTTGAAATGTTTTTAATACCTGCTTTTATTTCTACGTCTTTTAAAATAAACTGATTTAAGTTAAAATATAAAAAACACTTCTCCACCGACTTATCTAAAATAAGTTGCTGAAAATTGATTTTTCATAAAATATGGAAGCACACCCAACTTTTAAAAATAAATACCTGTTATTAACAACTCATAAACACCAACTTCTACTTTTTAAAAACCTCTTCCAAACATCACCTTAACTTTACACCTAAAGGTTTCGATTAAGTAGCAGCGATAGACTTTTACAAAGACATGATTTTTCTTTTTGGAATTATTTTAGAATAAACCCTTGAGAAAAGTGGTAAAAGTTGTCGAACGCCAAAACTATTTTTTGTGCAAATGACTCCCTTGAAGTTTCACACACGCAATTAAGTTTGAGGGAAAAATTTACGGAAGCTACCTCCATAAATCACAAGGGGATTATTTGCTGATATTACAAGCACAAGGGGATATATCGATCATCTGCAAAAGCTTGTAACCTAAAGGGGATTAAGTGCTATTTACCCTAAAATTTTATTTTGAATATGTCTACATCAAAACATATAAAAATAATTTATATATAAATAAAAATTTATATATGTTTATATAGAATATTTATAAATATACCCCTATACTTTTAATATTTACACGTTTCCCCTAAGTTCCCGTATCCCCTTTTTTGGAACATGCCGTTTCCCGGTATCCATTTCCCCATTTCCCTGCTACATAGATAAAGAAAGAAAAAAGAGAATGTAGCATTCAGCCATATGCAACACTGCGAGTTTCCAAAATAAGAATTCCAGTGAAAGAAAAAAAGAAGAAAAAATAAAACAAAATCCTCTAGAAAAATAGCTTTTGCTGTTTTGGAATAGACAAAACTGCTACAAAATGCATAGTTCGTTCTCCACTATTCGCAATGTAGATTAATGTAATGTGAACACTATATATTCAAATGTTCGATCTTACGGTTTAGTACCCCGATGTATATTCTATGGACGAAAACTATCCATTTCTCATATTTGACTCCCTATTTCGTTTTAAGAGGTAAATAACATTTTGTCACGTGGACTTAAGCTCGTCTTGCACTTTGCGGCATTAACAAAAAAAAAGTTTCACGAGCACACAAAAACGTTTTCTTTTATGCGCACTGCGACTTAGGGCTGATTTTCAAGCGAAACTTGACAAAATCCGGCACACGTGAATTGCACATGCATAATACATGGGCTTGTTCGTGTTTTCATCTACAAATACATCGTTGAGTTTCACTTTGGCACCTTTTTACTTTCCCCCTTTTCTCTTAGTCTAGGGTTAAAAGTTTTGAACCAAAATTTGCGATAATCTGAAGATCTTTCATACTCAATCTCATGACTTGGAATTTTATGGAGGGTAATGATGCTAATGATTTTTCAACAAATGTTCCAGAATACGGTATGGGTTCTTGAATTTTACGTATTGTTTTTCTTGACTTCTGTAAATCGAAAAACAATAGAAAGAAAAATAAAATTAGAAAAAAGAAAGACGGGATCATCTTCGGAAGGAGAGAAGTGATGTAAGAAAGAGGAGAAATGAGAGACAAATGCAAAGAAAATTGGGAGAAATTAGGGTATCTAATGTATTTATAGATGAAAAGACGAAAAACCCTATGTATTTGGGCATGTGCATTGCGTGTGCATCAAATTCCGGTAAGTTTTGCCTAGGAATCAACCCTAGGTGGCAATGTGCATAAGAAAAAAAAAAAAAAAAAAAAAAGGGGTTTGGGTGTGCCGTGCAAATATATTTGTCAATACGTTGGAGCGCAAAATGGGCCTAAGTTCCCTATAGTTCCTTACTTGTATATAGTGAATCGAAATTGGGATATTGTGATCATCACCATAGGTTAATATTAGGCCACTATATAAGTCTTTGATTTTGTACCAATTTTTACACCTGCGTATTTGTTTTTTCAATCATCTCCGCGGTTAATGGCATTTTGCACCGAATTTGACGCATTTTGCCTGTTACCCCCAAATAAATAAATAAAGTTGCACAATCATACCTGAACTCAATTACTTGAAGCACGCTCCCATTAGATGTTACAAAAACATCATACTTAGTAAAGTTGAAAAAGTATAAAAATGAAAAATAAATAACAAATACCAAGTGTGAGTTAATCCACTCAAGTCTCGACATAATTTATTGTCGAGCCTTGTTCCAAGTTTGTTTGATTCAGCGACGACTACTGTCACATTTCCTGGAAAAATATCGGAAAACCCATGCAAGACATGAATCAAAAGATACCAGATCTCATACGTCCCGAAAATATTCGACAATGCAAATTTCTAAGGAATTACCTATCCAAATTATCAAGTCAGAAATCACATAAAAATGGAAAATAAAAAGAATATCGTTCTCTATTATCTTACGAATGCAACATAAATTCAATACTACGCAACAGCTGCTTGCACAGAAGAGATTTCAATAGCGAGAATACAACAGTCGTTCACAATGAGTCCTCTTTTAGGATCGTTTATATAATCAAGCTCAATGAAGGAAGGCCATCCCCAACTCTCGCCAGAAGATGGAAACAAGTGTGTAGCTGCACGACGAAAAAAATATTAGTAATGTTACGAAAGTAAATAGTGAAAATAAATTGAACCAAGGCTTTCAGACTTTTCAAAAACAAAAAATCGGGCCAAACTTTAATTTGAGTATTTTCTACGAAATAGTGAAAATAAATTGCTACCGGAACAATTCCAGTAACAACGTAACGTTGTCTTACTAGTTCGTTTGACTTGTTCGTCATTAACCTGGTTCTTGATCCATATGGTATAACACGCCTGCACTCTTTCGGGACCAACATGCCACAAAAAGATGGAGACATTGCTGCTAGTTCCTTTCGGGTATAGCTGGACCTTCCTAAATTTATGAACAAGTTAAAATCATATAAACCAAATCCAGTAATAAAAAATAATCCTTGCAGTACCATCTGTGGCCTCCAGCAGTAAATTTTTCAGATTCCCAAATCCTTGCATGTTTAGAGAAGTTTGGAATCTTCCATTCACGTTTGAAAGGAATATCGACATTTTTCAGACACAAACGTCCGGTAGTGGTGAGTGTCTCTCTTTTGAGGACAAAAACCTCGGCACCAAACATGCAGATGTCATCAACTAGGTATCCATTTGATGGATCGGACAAAACTTTCTGAGAGATAAATTTTGAAAATCCCCATTCGGACTTCATTCCTAAGAAACGTCTTGTTCTTCCTGTCCATGATTGGCAAATTATAAGTAGCTAGTTCCCTCATGTAAATTAACTTATAGACAAAAATTGCCACAAGAGAATAATACTAATAATAATACCTAGTGAAGAAAGAAAATTGCCGGAAATCTGATTATAGATAAAAAGGCTAAAGACAACATTGACCTCCCAATTTGCATGCAACGAACTTGTGTCGGCCATGGCCAAATATACAGAAACGTAGCCGCTATCTTTTCCGACAATGTTGTCTCCATTAGGATACATTATTAGTCTCCTGTACAATTTTCCAGTTTCAAAATCAGTCAATTATACTGAAATGTAATAACCTATATGTAAATTGAAGGTGAAATTGTAATATTGGTCCTATATGTTGGTCTCTTTTGGGATTTAGTTCTATAAGTTGTCTAATTTCAATTTTACATGCAATAATTATGCAAAATTAGTATTTTTAGTCCTACTTCACTCAAACTTTGAATGTTAACCGTCGTTTAATGATGTACCTAACAAACTCGCATAATTTTTTTTATACGGACACTTAAAAATTATAAATGCTCCTCTAAATTAGTTTATAAATGTGTTGTCTCACATAATTAAAGTTCTACCAATGGTAAATTAGATGTCGAATTTATCAATTTCCAAGCGTCCATATAAGTAAAATGCATCAAGTTTATTTGTAGCGTCATAAAATTAAAAACCATGCAAAGTAGGACTAAAAATACTATATTTGCAGAGTTATTGCATGTAAAACTGAAACATGACAAGTTAGAGGACTCAATTCCTAAATAGGCCAACATAGAATTTTCCCTAAAATGAAAGAATATATGTAATTTAAAATTTATACATCCAAACAGAAAATGAAAACAAATCCGTAATAAACAATATACATAATACCATTTGTATTCTCCAGCAACAAATTCCGTAGTCTCGTATTTATCAATCCCACTCTTGTAGAAAGAATCGATCTTGATCAGAAAATGAGTAGGTGCTGCCTCTCTCGTTTCCATCGTTGTAAATTCTGAAAATAGCAAAACAATTCATATATAAACAAAGAAAGAAAACAGGAAAATTACAGTTTCCATCCTAAAGTTTGCATTGATTTCGTATTTGGTCCCTCATGTTCACATGCATGAAAACATTTGGTCCCTCATGTTTCAATAATTTAACACTTTTGGTCATTTCCGTCAATTTACCATTAGTCCATTAGTTAAGACAGTTTTGGACAAAATGCTTGATTCGTTATTACTAACAGAAAATTGATGGAAATGACCTAAAATGTTGAATTTTTGAAACATGAGAGACCAAATGTGTTTTTTGTGAGCATGAAGACAAAATGTGAAATCGGTGAAAATTTGAAGGAAGAAATTTGTATTTTTCCCGAAAGAAAACATACAAACTATATATAGTTTTATGAGAATTGTCATACCATCTGAAGCTGGTGCAAGTGTCACAAACATCTTACTCCTTTCAACTAATTGTTTTCGGAGGAATTGAGGTTTTCTGCCGATTGTCTAACTGCATGCTGTAGTAGAAGTTTTTATAGCACGAGCCCATGACCTTTGGTCTCTACTGGCGTTGTATTCTATAATGACCTTTGGTCTGTATTTATTATATTTAGGATAAATTGCACATCACTCCCTTTAAATTTCTAGTTTTCGCACTTTAGCCCCTTCAAAATTTTCAAGTGAATGCCCCCTTCAAAATATTATTCTTGTTGCACATTGCCTCGATAGTAAAATTCCGATGGATTATTCATCGGAATTGAGGATTTTTGTTGCACGTTCCTTTAAATATTATTTTTATTGCAAGTTGCCCCATAAAAAAATTATTTTTTTGCACATTGCACCTTTAAAATGTTATTTTTGTTGCACAATGCCCTTCGAAAATTGGCTTATGGGGCAAAGTGCAATCAATATAATATTTCGAAGCGGGAATATCTATTTATTTAATTTTTTCGGAGGAAAGTGCGAAAAATAGAAATTTATGGGGGGAAAAGTTCATTTTTGTCCTTATATCTATCTGGTTTGATTGTCATTTCCTAAGAGTTGTATTGTTCCGAGGAAGCTAACGATTAGTGACTACATATATACATTAACTTCCTTGGAAAAAAAAAATCCACTATTGGGAAGAGATAAAGTCATAAAGGTAAGAAAACCATAAGTCCCGGTAGACATGGCCACGGGCCGGGTCTGACCCGGACCCGGCCCGGACCCGACCCGTTGACTGCCCCGCCCCGCCCCGCCGCGACCCCGGCCCGTTGACCATGGACCCGGACCCGGACCCGGCCATATACGGGTCGGTTTCGGGTCCCAACTTCTTGGACCCGAGACCCACCGGGTCTACCCGGCGGGTGGACCCGAAGACCCGGACCCGAGGGCCCGGCCCAAGGACCCGTCGTCCACCCGGATTTTTAATGAAATAATCACCAAAAATGCAGCTTTTAGGGTTCGAATCCGGGTTGCCCAAGTGGTTGCTCACTAAACCACTCGGGCAAAGTTACTTATTGCAATATTAATCTTAACTACGCATATATAATTATAAATAATACTATAAAATAATTATAACAATTAACTAACTAATGATAATAAATTATTAATTGTCAGGTTCATTATCTTTAATATTAAAAATCTCACCTAATAACAAATACATATATATTTAAAAATCTCCCCTAGTAACAAATGCATATATAAATAATTACGATTTAATTTAAAAGAAAGATTGAATTTTGAAATTTTTTTTTTTTGAAATTATGAAAAATTTCTCATATTAATTATTATTAAATAATTTTAACTAAATAATTAACAAACGCAATATAAGAAACATTTAAAAAAATATATAGAATCACGGTTCAATACATCAAAACATCTATTATTAATTACTATATCAATATAATCTCCACTATTGAAAAATATAAAGTATTGAATCAATTCAATATATAAACAAATGCGTTGACTTATTACAAATTAACTTATGTTATTAAAATCGACCGTGTGAAAAAATCGAATGAAAAATAAAATAATATGTTTATTTAAAAAAAATAGATTATAACTCATTTCAATTAATTTAAATCGATTAACCTCAATTATTGACAAGAACTTATTAATATTATTGAGTATCTTATCATAAGATGATTAATTAAAAATATAAATCTCGACTAGTAACAAATTTAAATCGATTAACCTCAATTGTTAACAAGAACTTATTAATATTTATAAATTATTAATATCAAAAATCTCGACTAGTAACAAATGCATATATATTTAATTTTGAAAAATATAAAAAAAATACGATTTAATTTAAAAGTAAGATTGAATTTTGATATTTTTAGAATTTTGAAAAATTTCTCACTTATTACTTTCACTTATAAATACCCATAATTCAATCTTCACAACTTTAATTTTATTTAGTTTATGTCTCAAAGTCTTAATCGTTTCATTTTTTTTCTAAAATTGTTTAGTGTTTAAATTCAATTATTTTTTTATTTTGAATTTAAAGTTAATCTCATGTTTTTTCAAGTTTCAATATAAATTTGTTTTCCTTTCTTATTTAAAAAAAAAAAAAAATTGAAAAATCGGGTGGACCCGGACCCGGACCGGACCCGGATGGACCCGGGTGGACCCGCCCCGGACCCGGACCCGCCTCCCCGCGGGTCGGTTTCGGGTCCCCGAAAAGTCGGACCCGGACCCGGCGGGTCCGACCCGGACCCGGACCCGACCCGCCCCGTGGCCATGTCTAAGTCCCGGTGTGAAAACTTTATATACATAACAAAAAAAAAATCATTATCTAAATTTCTAATTCCTCCAAAATAAGAGAAGGAACAAACAAGTTGCAGGCAACTAACAATGTCTGTAACACCAGCACCAGCCGCAGATGGTATTACCACTCTCCTATATATATTTATTTATTTATACATGTCTATCAGTCAGTATATGCAGTTAGGGGTGGGCATTCGGGTCGGGTTATTCGGGTTATGACCCGACCCGGTCTGGTAAAACCCGACGGATCGGGTAATTTTGAAGTCTACCGGATTTTAACCGGGCCGTGTCCGGGTTTTAGAAGTTCTAACCGGGTACCCGATCAGGTATCCGGCCAAAATAATAAATAAATAATAAAAAATAAACTACATAGCCCACTTAGCCCAACCCAATTTCTAGCTCATCTAATGTTATATCATCTATATATATAATTTTTTATTATTTATTATTGAGTTCCATGTAATATATTTCATTTTGAGCTTTCAATTCTTGTTTTTATATTGCAACAATTTGTTTAGTGGTTCAAGTTTTTATATTGGCACCTCATTTTTTATTTTTATTTTATAATAAATAAATGATTTTGTAATAGGTAATAGTTCGAATATCAACATTATTATTGAATATATTGGTGCCAAAAAAAACCAAGCAAAAAAAGAAAAAAAAAGAAGAAGAAGAAACCCGAACCCGACCTGACCCCGACCCGATTATTTCGGGTCGGGTTCGGGTAATGATTTTTAAGTCAAAAACTCGAATAACCCGACCCGACCCGAATGCACACCCCTCTATATGCAGTAGTAGACCGATGACTTTTTACTACGATATTTTTTGCTATGGTAAAAACCGTAACATAAAATCTATCCTTTACTACGGGACAATCTCGGAGTCATAGTAAATACTGGGATTTACCGTAGCAAAAAAATATTTGTTGTGGCCATTTACCGTAGCAAAGTTTTTGTCACGCCCGTATATGCTACGGGGCAAATTCGTAGCAAAAGTTTTTTTACTACGAATTTGATACCTTTTGGTTACTGGTAAAAAGCCATTTTACTACTAGTGATGTATGAACATATGTAGACGTATCTCATCGAATACATATATTATAACTAATTTATGTGTATCTATTTCTGTAGAAATCACCACAGTGGAAACAAAAGAGGCATCACCTGCACATTTTCTGATCAAAATTGAATCTTTCTCTTTGCTTGGCAAATGCGGAATCGAGAAATACGATACCAATGAGTTTTTCGCGGGAGAATACAAATGGTACGTATATATATCATGATAAATAAAATACAATTAATTATTGCTTAATAAAACCATGGTATTAATCCAATTTTTCATATTGATCAGGAAACTAATAATCTGTCCTAATGAAGATGAAAACGGAAAAAAACATAGCGAATATATATCTGTAAATTTGGCTATGGTGGACACAATTTCTTTACCAGCAAATTGGGAGGTCAATGCAGTCTTTAATATATTTATCTTCAATCAGATTTCAGGAAATTATGTTTTTTCAGGTATTATTCTTTCTTCTTTTGTTATTTAAGTTTTTAAGGTGAACAAATTAAATAGTCAATAATTTTTTTTTGTATTTACAGGAAGAACAAGACGATTTCTTGGAATGAAGTCGGAATGGCCGGGGATTACCCAAATTCATATTGAAGAATATTCTCTTAGATCCATCAAATGGATACCTAGTCAACGACAACTGTGTATTTGGTGCTGAGGTTTTCGTTGTCGAAAGAGAAGCAGTCACTGAATGTTTGTCTTTGAAAAACGTCAAATTTCCTTACAAGCGTGATTGGAAGATTTCAAGGTTCTCCAAATTGCAAGGCATTTGGAATTCTGAAGAGTTTAGTGCTGGAGGCCTCAAATGGTAACAATTTTTTTAAAAATGCACCTCACCCCATATGAATTTTTCATTTTCGTACTTTCTCCTCTAAAAAATAAAAAAGGGATAACTCTCCTTCCAAATATTATTTTTGTTTCACTTTGCTCCAAAAGCCAATTTTTTTGTGGGCATCCTGCACCAAAAATGATATTTTAAAGGGGCGATGTGCAGAAAAATAATTTTTTTAAGGGGCAATGTGCAACAAAAGCACTCTATTCTGGTGACTAATCCAATGAAAGTTTGCTATAGAGGCAATGTGCAACAAGAATGACATTTTGGAGGGGATAATTATTGATTTAAATTTGAAGGGGGTAAAGTGCAATAATTAGAAATTTATAAGGGGTGACGTGCAATTTTCCCTTTTTGAGATGCATGTTGTTGTATTTTCACGTTAGTTTTGTTATTTTGGTTAGGAAGATTCTTCTTTACCCGAAAGGAAATGGCGAAAGGAACTGGTCGCAATGTATCCATATTTTTGTCCCTAGTCGATTCCAGTAACTCTACCCCTCCCGGAAGAGTGAAGGCACGTTACATTATATGCCTCAAAAACCAGTTTCCGGATGAACACATTCAACGAAATGGTAATTAAACATGAAAAAGAAGAAAAAAAACAATTTCATATATATTTAAAATTCATAAGATATAACGAGTTTCGGTTACATTTTAATTTATATTGCAGGTACTAGATGGTTTTCGGCAATAAACCCTGCTTGGGGATTGGCTTCATTCATTAAGCTTGCTACTATTAATAATCCTTACAAAGGATTCATTGTGAATGACTGTTGTCTTCTTAATATAGAGATCTCTGTCGAAGCTGTTGTGCAAGGATCTCCCTTATCTATTTAAAAAACGTAATTCTTCAAATTTATTGAATTTTACTTATGATTGGACAAAATGCAATCGCCCCCTATATTTTTTCTTATTTTTCCACTTCACCCTTCAAAATTAGAAAAGGGGTTAACTCCCCTCGAAGTATTGTTTTGGTTGCACTTTCCCCCAAAAACCAATTTTTGGTGGGCATTGTGCAACAAAAATAACATTTGAAAGGGGCAACGTGCATAAAAATAATTTTTTGAAGGGGCAACGTGTAACAAAAATAACATTTAAAGGTGCAACGTGCAACAAAAACACTCAGTTCCGGTGAATAATTCATAAGAATTTTGCTATCGGGGGAGATTTCCTTTTTGAAATTATGAAGGGGTAAAGTGCAAAAAATAGAAATTTATAGAGGCTGACATGCAATTTGCCCCTTATTATTTGTTCAACATTCTTTAATTTTCTACTCCTAGGTATTATGGTAAATCCACCTTGCTCTTTACAATTTCTAACTAAAATATGTTTCATACAACTTGTTACTAGAGTTCTATGATATTTTTCTATCAGGAAAATTACTGTTTTCACAACTCAAGTTTGCATTGATTTCATATTTGGTATCTCATGTTCACAAAAAAAGATTTGGTCCTTTATGTTTAAAAAATTTAACACTTTTGGTCATTCCGTCAATTTACCGTTATCCGGCAGTTGAAGCAATGACGGGCACACACATAATTCCATTACTACTCACGGAAAATTGACGGAAATGACTAAAAGTGTTAAATTTGGAAACATCGTTATGACCAAATGTGTTTTTCCGAACATAGAGTCAAATATAAAATTAGTGCAAACTTGAGGGACGAAAATTATAATTTTCTATTTTCTATCCTCTGCCATTACTTAATTGGTGGGAAAAATACATTTTTCATCCCTCAAGTTTGCTCAAATTCCACATTTGGTCCCCATGTTCCCAAAAAATACATTTGGTCCCTCATGTTTCAAAAATTCAACACTTTTAGTCATTTCTGTTAAAACTAACATAATCAAATGTGTTCCTGTCACTACGCAACTGAAGGATTGACGGCAAATTGATGAAAACGACAAAAAAATGTCAAGTAATTGAAACATGAGGCACAAAATGTGTTTTTTGTGAATATGGGGGACCACATGTGCAATCGTTGCAAATCTGCGGGGTGAAACTATAAATTTCCCCTTATTGGTTCTGTACGCTGAGGAATATGCAGATGCTTTTGCAGCAAGCGGAAAATTAGTGTTCATAAAATTATAAACACGAAAAACAAATAAAGAAATATCAAGTGTAAATTAATAGTCTCCATAAAAAAAAAAAAAGAACATTCTGTAATATAAATTCAAGATTGTGCAACTGTTGCTTAGACACAAGATAATTCAACAGCAATAACACAACAGTCATTCACAATGAGTCCTCTTTTAGGATCATTCATATACTCAAGCTCCATAAATGACGGCCATCCCCATTCATCCGTGTACGGAGGCGAAAACCAACGACTACCTGCAATAAATACATACATATACATATATATATATATATATATATGACATTAAATATGAAACACGTGAATTAATTTCACAATGTGTTTTTAACTTTTCTTAACTTTAAACTAAATCTTAGTTAGTGGGCTAAGTGGGGTTAAGTAATGCTTAGTGGATTTAATTATGGAATTTATCTTTAACTTCCAAACTAACCCACTAACCCATTATCTTGAGTGCTCTTGTGGTTGGTTTTCTTGCAGATCATGGCCTGAGAAATGGAAGCTTGCCAAGTCTATAATACCCAACTCAAGACTCAAGATTTATACAGATTTAGAGGAAACAAAAATAGAGCTGAAGTTTTAATCTCGAGAATTTTAGTGTGTTTTCTAGGATCTGTTGTACGTACTCTTTATGAGTACATTCTTTGAAATCTAGAATTTTTAATATTTTTCTTTTAGTATCTAGATTTGATTGTAAGAGTGATCTTGAAAAAGATTCATTCATAAGGAAGAAGTTTTCGCACTCTTCTGTTTGTATTCTTGGAATACTGATTTTAATATATTTTTCCGTCCTGTAAAGGGCAAGTTCACAAGTCTTTACTTGTGAACATTTTTAATTCTGAGCATTGTCTTTTAATAGTTATATTTCCGCTGCATGTTGTCTCAAGTGTCATAACATTTTAGATAACATCTCTGTATAATACGAATTCGGGACCATAAATTCTTTCAAAATACATTAATAACAAGAAGATTTTCTAGAACCACTAGTGTATTACAAACATATATAGGAGTAGAAATAGTTAAGTCCAATTTAATTAGAATTTTTCAATACTTTATGTTTGAAACAATATCCAATTGTGACTTACTCGTTCGTCTGTCTTGTTCATCGTCGTTAACCTGGTTTTTTATCAATGCAGTGAAACCTGCTTGCACTCTTTCAGAACCAACAAGGCGCAAATAGATGCTGACGTGGCTGCCAGCTCCTCTTAGATTTCCTTTCGGGTAAAGACTAATCGTCCTGATATTTATATCAACAAGTTAAAAACATATCAAATAAATCCATTTATAATAAACAAATAGACTTCTCTTTTTGTAATACTAAATAAATATTGTACCATCTTTGCCCAGCAGCACTAAATTCTTCAGACATCCAAACATGTCCCAATTTAGAGAATTCTGAAATCTTCCATTCGCGTTTGTAAGGAATGGCGGCATTCTTCAGAGACAAACATTCTTGTTTTTTAACTATGTTAGGTTCTCTGTTCAGGACAAAAACTTCAGCACCAAACACACAGTTGTCATCGACTAGGTAACCGTTTGATGTATCAGAAAGAACTTTTTTAGAGATAAATTTGGAAAATCCCCATTGAGCCTTCATTGCTAGGAAACGCCTTGTTCTTCCTGTTCGGATTATGGGTGTTGTCATAATTTAAATACTGATTTAATGGGAAAATTATACTTTTCAATCCCTAAGTTTGCACTGGTTTCACATTTGGTCTCTCATGTTCATAAAAATTACATTTAGTCCCTCATGTTTCAATAATTTAATACTTACGATCATTTCCGTCATTTTACCGTTAAGTCGCAGTGATGGGCACACACTTGATCCACTAGTAATAACAAAAAATTGACGGGATGACTAAAAGTGTTGAATTTTTCAACCATGGGGGACCGAATGTGAAATCAGTGCAAACTTGAGGGATGAAAAGTGCATTCTTCCCAAAATTTAATATTTACTTTCCTTTCTAATGTAATTTAATTTAATTTAATCACACGGTAATATAGAAGATGGCAATAATAAATTAATAATCATACCTAGTGAACAAAGATAATTGGCTGCAATTTGATTAAAGAGGAAGATGTTGAAGACAACATTAACCTCCCATCTTTCAGGGAGAGAATTTGTGTCGTCCGCCATAGCCAAATATACCGAAACATAATTGCAATCCTTTCCGATTTTGTCTCCATTAGGGTAGATTATTAGTCTCCTGTATAAATTATAAGTTCAAGCATCATTCATTAATTGAATTTACATTGGCTATAAAACTAAATAATAATAATCTTGCACAGGCGGCATAAATAATAGATAAAGTACCATTTGTATTCACCGGCCACAAATTCCTTAGTTTCGTATTTATCAATCCCAGACTTGTAGAATGATTCAATCTTGATCAAAAAATGTGTAGGTGATGCCTCTCTTGTTTCCATGGTTACAACTTCTGACAGCAGTAGAGTTTATACATAAATAAATATATACATATATATATAAATAATAAATAATTATAGTTTTGTGAGAAATTGTCATACCATCTTCTGCAGCCATCCTCCTTGCCTTCAACTAATTGTTTTTTCCCTACTTTGATTGGAATTGTTTCTTATTGATCACGATTTTTATAATGTGGTATTACATATTTATATTACAAGTTTGTATACAAAGAGCCTGTGACTTTTGGTTTACCTTTGCCAGTTGCCTTTTATTATAGAATCTGCAAATTTTGTTATACGAAAGGTCTTTCAATTTTAGGAAAAAAAATACAGAAAAATCCTAATTTGAATTAACTGCACACTCATTCATAATATTCTCTCCGTCCAACAATATTCTTTTTTATTTTGGCAGTAAAGGAACTCGCAACCAACCAACCATATAGGTGTATTGGGTAAACCTACACTATTGTATAATAGTTTGATCCCACAATATATATTTTTTGGATTTTTTGCAAAAACCACCCCTATGTAATCTCGAATTGCTGAAAAACCCCTCGTGTTAAAAATATTAGCACAAAACCCCCTGTGAAAAATAGTCAAAGCCAAAAAAGACCTTAAGAGCTCGATGTGTTATACACTCGCGCTTTGTGCGACTGGGCCTCGTATTTTGGAACTAGAAATACCTAAATATCCTTTAAATCAATTTTTGAAATTTATAAATTTACCCAAAATATTTTTCATAAGCTCAAAATGAAGTTTTCAGAATTTTCAATTCAATCCCCACTAATTTCAGAAAAGCCCTCTCTCCAAATTGCATAGAACCAAATTGCAATTTTCATAATTTCTCAAAACTTCATCATCTTCTTCCCCTCTCCTTCAGATCTGCTCCTCGCCAAATAAAAAAAATAAAACAAACAAAAACCAGCGATTCATCTTCATAACCTTCCCATTTGCAAAAGAAGAAAAAACAACCAAAGTTGCTTCCTCCATCTAAACCCGCCGGAAGACAAAGGCACTTCAAGCACAAAAAACACAGCCCCAGTACAATACATACACGCACAAAACGTAACTCGATCTAAAATCTTGATTTACAAGAGATATGAAAGAACCCATCAAACATAAAGCATAATATTTTTTGGGGTGGGAAGGCAGGTGGTGCGGCTGTGGTGCGGCTGTGGTGGTGGTGATGCGGCGGTGGTGCGGACGTGACGGTGGTGATGCGGCGGTTGTGCGGCCATGGTGGTGGTGATGCGGCGGTGGTGATGCGGCGGTGGTGCGGCCGTGGTGGTGGTGGTGGTGGTGATGCGGCCGTGGTGCGGCCGTGTTTGTGGTGATGCGGCGGCGGGAGGGCTCGATGGAAGAATTGGGTTGCGGGAGAAAGGCGATGGGCTGGGTGATAATTTTATTTTTCTTTCTTTTTTTTCTTTTTACATTTTATATATAAGCAAATTGCACTTCACCCCCTTAAATATTGCCGTTTTTGCACTTTCCCCCCTAGAAATAGAAAAACGAGACTGTCCCCCTTAGAAATATATAAGTCGGTGCACTTTGCCCCAAGTCTCGATTTCCAGGCTAATTCTCGCCGGATTAAGGGTATACAAGTCATTGTACTTTTCCCGGGAAAATTACATTTTTCGTCCTCATACTTTACCCACTTTTTCAAAACTGTCCCTAAACATTTTGGAGTTACAATAGTAGTCCTTAATCATGCCATTTTTTGAAAGAATTGGTCCGCCGTTAATTTTTGCCGTTAAGTTTGATGGAAAATGGCATGTGCCTCTCACATGCCTTCAATTTACAACACTACATGAAAATGGACTTTCAACAACGCGCATTGCGTCTTGTTAAAGCATATTTTTCATAATTAAAACTTGATTGAAATTCGAAATTATATAACTTCCAAAAAAGCAAAATCGATATATATTGTTTTAAAATATTTTGAGAAATAATATTTAACCAATTGAAACATTGTTTTAAAAAATGAAATATTGCTTTCAAAATCAAGATTTTCGGAATTCAAATGAAAACATTGTGTCAAAATAAAATAAAAATTCGATCCGAATAGGTGGGATAAGAAACCTCCATTTCAATCTTCACCCTAATTTAATAATGTAAAACTCGATAAACTATTTCAAAATATTTTTAGAAGTATTGTCTAAAATAATAATATAATGTTTTAAAACCGGAATTTCTTGAATCCAAATGAAAATTATTTTTTTAAATAAAATAAAAATTTGATCGTAATAGGCGGAGTAAGAAAACTCCGTTCCAAATTTCACCCTTATTTAATAATCTAAAACTCGATATTTTTTTTCAAAATAAATTCAGAAATATTTTTTAAAAAATCATAATATTGTTTAAAGAAATAAGTTAAAATCGGAATTTTTGGAAATTGAATGAAAATATTATTTTAAAATAAAATAAAAATTCGATCAAACTAGGCGGGATAAGAAAACTTCTTTCCAATTTTCACCCATATTGAATGATTTAAAACTCGACATATTGTCTCACAATTGGGATTTTTGGAATCGACTAGAGGTGAAAATTGGAATGGAGATTTCTAATTCCCCAATTCCTATCGGTTTTTTTTTTTATTTTGGTTAGAAACGATATATTTTAATTGAATTCCAAAAATGCCGATTTTGGAACAATATTTTAAAATTTTAAACTATATTTTGATTTTTTAAACAATATTTCCAAAATGAGTTGATTTTTTTGGAATTTACGTGATTTCGTTTTTATATAAATTAATTAAAAATAATAGTTATAAAAAATATGTTTTAACAAGACGCAATGCGTTTTGTTGAAAGTCCACATTCCTGTAGTGTTGTAAATTGAAGGCATGTGAGAGGCACATGCCATTTTCTATCCAACTTAACCGCAAAAATTAACGGCGGACCAATTATGTCAAAAAATGGCATGATTAAGGACTAGTATTGTAACTCCAAAATGTTTAGGGACAGTTTTGAAAAAGTGAGTAAAGTATAAGGACGAAAAATGTAATTTTCCCTACTTTTCCCTCTTCAAAATCCCGCGCTTTCACTTAGGGTTCTCCATACCAGAATAGCCAATTCCCAAATTGAACGACTCCCAAAGCCGCAAAATTGACTTCCCAAATTGACAAAATTCTCACCCAAAGCCACAATATTCGCTTTTGTTGTTCTTCATAACCAGTATTTGCACAACGCAATCAAGATAATGGGTTGGGAATTATGGCAAGGAATGCAGAGACCTGACTATGGTGAGCACCTACCTTCTATTGTGTTAATGATTTTGTATAAATTTGAGTTTTCTTTACAGTATGACTAATTTTTCCATTTTTTATTTATTTTAGGAGATGACCCAATCGATTTCACTATTCAAATGCACCATGGAGGATATTTTGCTGATATTGGTTCAAGGTGTTATGTTGGAGGTAAAATCGATCACTTTGACCATTGCAATTCAGATATGATGTCGATGAGAGAGATGCATTCAATGTCTGTAGAATTAGGTCTTGTTCAGTCAGGTGATAATAATGTTGTAATTAGGTATTATCAAAGTCTCTCTCTCTTATGAATGCACTGCAATAAAAGAATTGGTAAGTGACATCGATGCTATGAAGAAAATTGTTACCTTTGTGGATCGATGGAAAACACCTGGTCGTTGCCCGCGGATTCAATTGATTTTGGGAGTAAAAGAAGAACCCTAGGATTTTTTTTGCTATACAATCTGGGATAAAAAGAAGACCCCCAAACGGTAATACTTGGTGGAAAAAATGGTCAATGACATTTATAACCTTTAAAAACTCGTAAAAGACTTGTATACCCTTCCTAGTTACTAAAATCCGGCGAGAATTAGCCTGGAAATCGAGACTTGGGGCAAAGTGCACCGACTTATATATTTCTAAGGGGGACAGTCTCGTTTTTCTATTTCTAGGGGGGAAAGTGCAAAAACAACAATTTTTGAGGGGGTGAAGTGCAATTTGACCTTTTATTTATTTAATTGGAACATAAATTATTAAAAAATATGAGGGTTAGTTTAGTCATTTCAGTTAAGTCAACTGCTAATTTCGAAATAAGGGCCAGTGTGCTTTATCAAAAATAATATAGGGGGGTCTATGCTAATATTTTTAACATGAGGGGGTTTTTAGCCATTCAAAATTTCACAGGGGGGTCTATGCAATTAGCTCTATATTTTTTGGTAATGAAAGAACCCACAGCAAACTGAGTAAAACTACACTCTCGCATAGTAGCTTGGTCCCACAATTTTTTTTGTAAGGAACTCGTATCCAACCATATAGGTGTAGTTGGTAAACCTACATTCTCGTATAATAGCTTGCAAACCACACGAAAGAGGTAAACCCCACTAGGCTAACCATGTGTGACAAGCTCCACCTAGCGACCGTTGTTAACAAAACTTCGTCCCACAATATTTGTTTTTGTGACAAGCTCTACCTAGAGACCTAGTCATAATTGGTTCTCCACTATATAACTTTCAATTAATTTATAAGAGTCTTAATTAAAGAGAAAAAAAAAAGAAAAGAAATAGTGCAATGAATACTCCATGGAGATTCCAGCGCTGAGTAATAAATTATCGGAGTTAATTGCAAATATACCACCCCTGTGAAATTGCGAATTGACAAATAATCCCTGTGAAAACAAAACTTACCCATGCCTCCCTGTGTAACCTATTTTGAATCACACTGCACCCATTGACATTTTACTTGTTGATCAAAGGGTAAAAAGACAAAAAAGCCGAGGGGTTTTTTTGCTATTAGAAAAACAATAGTGTTTTAACAAATAAAATAGAAAATAAAATATATGTTAATATAATAAGGGATTTTTATGCAAAAGTCCCCAACCAAGCATGTTTATTATTCTAGGTTTAGGGGACATATCTCTTTTACCAATAAGCCCATCCCTTTAATATTTATTATAACTAAAGGAAACATTCATGTATATCCCAATATTACCCTCAACCATTTATACCCAATTCTTAATTGTAATCCAAATTAATCAATT